ACAGATTGAAGGCAAGAGGGGGAGTGGAAAACATGACATACTTGATGGGCTTGAGTAAATGGATGATGAAACAGGGTTTAGGAGAAATGACAAAAAGACAAAATTTATTGAGCGATATAAAGAACAGAAAATTGTGATCGCCTGAGGGGACACAGCATATAAAGAAGTAAATTATATATATATATATTAAATATATATATATATATATATATATATGATTATTTTTTTAAAAATATGACTCTTTCGCTACATAAGAGTATTCATGTTTCAAAAACAGAGTCAAAACTTAAATATAATTATTAAAATTAAATTGAATTTAAGTATCAAACTCTGTTTCATTCAATTCAAAAATGTCGCTTGAGGATGAAATACTTAAATTCAATTTAATTTTAATAATTATATTGAAGTTTTTATTTATTTTTATTTTTATAACATTCTAGAACTCTCGTGTGGAATCAAAGGAATCATATTTTTTTAAAATAATTATAATTTAAATTTCTTTTTGTATCGAGCAATACCTTTTAAAAATTAAAACAAAAAAAAAAAAATACTAAAGAACTTCGGATTATTTTATTACCGAACGTGTGTACTTTCCTATTTTTCTATACATTTGCACACACACACACACACACACACACATATATATATATATATATATATATATATATATATATATGTATATATATATTCTACATTAAATTAAAGACATTAAACAAACTCTTATTAATAACGACTTACCTAATTACATCATTGCTGAACAAATTAGACGAGGCATTAGAAATATTAGCATAAATCAAAAAGAAAATAATACTCTGTCAAATAACCCTAAACATGTCAACCTAATATATTGTAATCAAATGCATTCCGACTATAAAAAAGATGAAAAAATCCATAAAAAATCTAAGTACTAATATATCCCCCACTGATCCCATTAAAAATAAAACTAATTATATACCATACTAAATCCAATACAACCAACTTAGACGTCAGTAATAATAATAATAATAATAATAATATATTTACTACGTCCCCATATAAAAAGCTAACACGCATAAACACGTGCTCTCCCACTATAAAAGTGAATTTATTACAAAACAGCGATTTACTAAGCTTACCTTAGATGTGTGTGACAAGGCCGAATGTAAGGGAAACCCTATGAAGATCGAAGTCAATATTCAGTACTCACTATATATATAAATTAAAAAGAACATAATCCTTCCTCAAATAATCCTAAACATATCAACCTATTATACCTTCATCAAATTCATTCTAACTATAAACAAGATGAAAAAAATCCTAAAAAATTCATAAGTACTAATATAATCCCCACTGATCCCAGTAAAACAAATAAAACTAATTATATTCTATACTAAATTTAACCCAACCAACTTAATCATCCACAATAATTTTTTACCGTCAACTAGTGTTTTGGAAAAGACCATCATTGTATATCAGTTTAAATGTCCTTTGGGAAATTGTATCTTTGACAAAAAGGTAAGTAGATATGTTAGCTTAACGACCACAACATTATCAAGACGTTTTACACTTCATTTGTCGGATACAAGTTCTATCGCATAATTTAAAGTACATTTCTCTCCCCCTTCACAATATAAGAAAATACTTGTTGACAACACCAATAGACGACACCATTAAAATAATAAAGAAAAACTTCAAATTCTTGAGGCCTTCTATATCAAAGGCAGCACTCAGCAAAGTTTATTACGTGTGTAGTAGCAACGTTTTAAAATGTCTTTGCATTTCTACCATCTCTGATTGTCTCTCTTATAATGGGACGCATGCAAAAATAATCATAGCTACAACGGATACATTTAAAATGTAAAATAATTATAACAGAGCGTATTTGTCAAAATCACCATCACAATAAATGTCTTCACAATTCACCTCTGAGGATGATCACGGAGGAGATCGAAAGAACAAGTTCTTGCAAAAGTCGCATTACTATTGATAACCTTGTAAATTGTATGTTTATTTATCAAATGCAATAATGTTTCTGTACGTGACAATATATTATGAAGAAATTTGGAAGATGATATCATGCAAATTTTCCCTGGACGTTAATTCACAAGTATACGTTTTTTGCGACTTGTTGCATGATTCTTGAACACCCTACACTTGGTCTTACAAGAACTAAGAAACTTTCCTTGATGAATTTCAACTTAACATCAAGAAGATAATTAGAGAATTAGAAAACATTATTATTTTAGACAGAATATGTACCTATGTACCTGCGATTCAATGAAACAGGCTTGAAACAAGACATTTTGCCTATATATATATATATATATATATATATATATATATATATATATATATATATATATATATTTATATAAAATTTGGATGGTCCGGCAATAAAAGAAAACCACTATAATCAAATCTCATTAATGTATTTCCATCGGTTTCCTGAAACTGATTCAATTGACCCTCATATGTCGAATCTCAACGGGAGAATCGATTATATATATATATATATATATATATATATATATATATATATAATATATATATATATAAAAGAAATATAGTTTTAGGTATGCTATATTTATGGGATAAAGTGCTCAATATAGATATAGAGCGTATGTAAATATAAATATAAAAGTGAACATTGAAGTAAACACTCAGAGTCGAGAGGCTGTTTCATGCTAGGCGCAATCGTCAGGTCGCTATTTTCACTTTTTTGTCTTAAAAGATCACATTGGACGGAACGCGCCGGCGCAAACTAGCTACCTGCACTTTTTCGGCATAAATTTTCGATACCGAAGGTTTAAAATTATTTTATAAAAATGAAAAACCATTCTTGATTTTTTTTCAATTTTAGTCTTAATTGAGAGCTAAAGGATTAAATTTAGTATTTCCAGTAAGTAAAATAATCTGGTGTATTTCAGATAGAAATTATATAGATTGGAATGTCAAATTTAATTTCGATTACTTAAAATTTTCTTAAAAGCATCAAGATTTTCTTAATTTAACTTGTAAATTAAATATAATATATATATATATATATATATATATAATAATTTCTAATTATTTACTTATAGCATAAAAAAGAAATATACACCCATTTGCTATTGATCGGCTCTGGTCATCTGAAGCGCTGTTTGATTGACGATTGATTGTCGAAGCTATGACACCTAGTATGGCTGACTAGAATTGACATAAAATTTCCGAAATCTAAGTGAAGACATTTTTTGGGGGGTTTCAACTACCTCGTAATTTTTACAAATGAACATATTTTCCGCAATTATCTAACAATTTATTGACTTTTTATTTACCTTTCGAAGATGCTTTACGTAAAAATAAAAAAATTAAAATTACTATAAAATTTCTTTAATTAATTTCTCTGTAAAGAGACAAAATTCTTAGATCACTTGACCTTTTCCTAATAATGTCACGTTTAGCCTTTCAGCGATGAAGAAAGGGAACAAATTAAGTAAAAAGTTAAAATTATTTTTAAAAATAGAGTAGTCTAACTACATTTATTAATCTTTACAATTTTGGGTTCGTAAATTTCGTTTCCACTTAATTACTATATCACATCAAGGAAATAGCCCAATACAGAATTTTACACGATTTTAGACTATCATAAATTATTTTAATTAAAACTTTTAAAAAAATGAAAAAATTCTTGTAAAAATTCATTATTTATCGGAAAAACTTTTTATTTGTTCAGGCAATAATGTCGTTATTATAACTTATTTACAAAAGCAATTAAAAGATTGTTATAAAATAAAATAAGACATATCTCGGCTGATTTGCAAGCAAATAAACTAACATACTCAAGAGCGAGAGCCGGATGTGAACGGGACAAGGCCCCGTCACAAAATGACCATATTTACGCGTTTACGCATATTCCCGACGCACGAGTTTCGGTCGAAAAATTAAATAATATTTTAAAGTGTTTCTATTTTTCGACCAATAAAAATGCTTCCCTCCTAATTATACTCGCGTCGTTTTACGAGTCTGTCAAGCCATAAAAAAAAAAAACGCCATAAAAGAGGTCACAAGGAATTACAACGGCAGTCAACAGGAGGCCAGGGAAGAGACCTGTCACGGTCAGGATGAGTGGTCAGCAGCAGCCAGCAGCAGTAGCGCCACGCCAACCAGTGAGAACTATGAGAGTTCAACCCAGATCCGAAGCCGGCTTATCAACTATACCACAAGGTAGCTATCCCAAACCCACGCGTTCCTATTGAAATAAATCAAGTAAATCTATTTCTGCTGTTGTTGTATTTCTTTCTTGCAACCATACGCTTACATATAACAAGCTTTTCTAATTAAATGTCATAGTTTCATTGCAATGTTTATTTTTCAGTTCAGAGCAGATGTTCAGATAGAATATTGCAAGTTTGAAAAAAAAAAAAAAATGGGCGATTTAGATTCTCCAAGGAGTCCTAATTTTAACGAATAAAAAATTCAGGAAATAGAATATTTTTTGCGAAATTTCATGAAATTAAATCAGTGGGCGGGTAACACATGTAAAAAAATATTTCCCCAAAAATTTCAGAAATAATTTAATTCATTTGTGAATATGTCCTGAAAATTTCATTAAAATCCGACAATTATATGGCTTTTACAAGAATTTCCAAATGAATGTTTTCAACGGAAAAAAAGCGCAAAAAAATCAATGTAATTATTATGCCACTGCGATGATGTAAACAAGATTTTAATCAAAATCTCAACGTGCTAGAAAGGATTAAAAAGTTTCAAAAAATAATTTAAAAAAATACTTTGGTCTTTCATCTTAATAATAACATAAACATTTTGACGATAAAACTTTATTTTTATTAAGTTTCTGGCCTTTTGCATTACGCTATGCTATTTTCCTTTAAAAAGTGGAGGTACCTAGGTAAAAGTATAGTTTTCCTATTGTGTTTTAACATATAGATAGATAGATAGATAGATAGATAGATAGATGTAGATATATATAAGAGACTGCTCATATTTATTTTCATTTGTTGTCCCTTTTTCTTTACAAAAAGGCCTCTTAATCTACTTCGTACAAACACGTCTCTCTCTCTCTCTTTCTCTCTCTCTCTCTTTCTCTCTCTCTCTCTCTTTCTCTCTCTCTCTCTCCCAACTCTCTTATCTATCTCTATCTCTCTTATTACCGAAGCATTTGTATTTTGTTCCTGTTGTCATCACTTCTTTCCCTTCTGTTTTTATTCTTCCACTTGAACTCTCCATCCATCCTTTGTCGTTTCGAGTGTGGGAACGAAGATCTATTTACAGAAAACGATACGGTGAAAATGGTGAAAAAAACAAAAAACAAACTTTAAACGATACAAAAATAAACGAATAAAAATAAACGCCTTTTTTTCTGCAAGACTAATTTCAAGCAGCTGAATTGCTCCAAGCCCAAATAAAAAATCATAACAGAAATAAAAAAATAACCAAGATTTAAAACATCACCCGTTGACAAATGACAGATATGACACCCAAAATTGTGCTGGGGTGGCATTTTGCACGACCCGGGTGTTCGTTAAAAACTTCACCATAGATTACACCTTTTATGCTTTTCGTGTTTATTGAGAGTTAAAACGATTGGTTTGGTTTGTTGTGTTTTACGGCGTATCAACCTCATTAGGTTATTTAATGCCGACAACATTTTTAGGATAGATTCATATGAATAGAATATGTATTCTTTGGTTTAGATTGGTTTGGTTTATTTTGTCTTACGGCATATCAACCTCAATGGATTATTTAATGCCAACAACATTTTTAGGATAGATTCGTTTGAATAGAATATGTATTCTTTGGTTTAGATTGGTTTGGTTTATTTTGTTTTACGGCATATCAACCTCAATGGGTTATTTAATGCCGACAACTTTTTTTCCTGGTAATATTTTGTTTTGTCAAAATTCTATTTCTGGTAATATTTTTTCCTCAAAAATAGAATAGTTGGTAATATTATTTTAAAACATGTATTACTGGTAATATTTTTTTCAAAAATGTATTGCTAGTAATAGTTTTTTTTCTTCAAAAATTTATTTCTGGTAATATTTTTTTTACAAAGTATTTCTGTATTAAAAAATATTTTTATGCTTTTATAATGTTTTTTTACCTCAGTTTCGGGGTTAACTATTTACTCATAACTGGGACCCTAACAGGTGCTACCACCCTGACCAGAGGCCTTGCTGTTGGACGTAGTTCATCGTCTTAACCTGGACGCGGGTGTAGTTTATCGTCATACCCAGGGCGCGGATGTAGTTTATCGTCTTACCCTGGACGCGAATGTAGTTTATCGTCATACCAAGGACGCAGATGTAGTTTATCGTCTTACCCAGGACGCGGATATAGTTCATCGTCATACCCGGGACGAATTAAAACGATTTCAAGTCGAAACATTCGTGTTTGCATTAAGAGAGGGTTCAATCATTCTTAATAAATTTCCCGTTATCTATATTTAATGTTATTAACACAGTCACTAATTGTTAATTAATTAATGAAGTTAGCTTTGTGTTTTAAGTTTGGGTTTATTTGTTTTATGGCATATCGACACCTCAATGGGTTATTTAATGCTGACAAGATTTTTATAGATAGGCTCGTATGAATATAATATCTATTCTTTGTAAGAAATCAGTTTGTAGATCAGGTTTCATTAGAGTATTTTTGTAAAGAGTGCATGTGTAGAGAGTTTGGTTTCATTGCTGTATTCTTTCTGATATACAGTTTGTAGAGAGATTGGTTTGATTTGCTTTATTTTATTTTACGGCATATCAACATCTCAATGGGTTATTTAATGCCAACAAGATTTTTATGATAGGCTCGTATGAATATAATATATATTCTTTTTAAGAAATCAGTTTGTAGATCAGGTTTCATTGGCGTATTTTTTAAAGAAGTTTTTTTTTATTATTTGTCGAGAATCAAATGCATTTTTGGTAATTGTTTGTTCAAAAATGTATTTCTGGTAATATTTAAAAAAAAAAACCCAAAAAACCCTGTATTGTTAGTAATATTTCATTCCAAAAATGTATTATCGTTATTTTTACTATAACAAATCTATTTTTATACATTCATAATGTTTTGGCCCTAGTTTGGGGATGAACTTTTTGGTTAGGGTAGGCCTGGGGGCAACAGCAATTAAGAGGTGATTACACGCTCCTCAAAATCTCCCGAACAGGGGTTTTGCTGCCGGATGTAGTTTATCGTCGTACCCAGGACGTCTTCACTTAAGTGCCATGCGTCATGTGTCTGACGAGGCAGTTTTTTTTCTCGCAGTAGGTTGCCATTTCTTTCTGCTGTAGACCAGTTTCCCTCAAAGGCTGTAGAAACCGTTCTGTCCTGCTATTTATCCATAGCCGTGGGGGGGGGGAGAAGAAGAAGAAGAAGAGTGTTCATACATTTCCCAAGAGTATTAGCACGTAAGTGAATCTAATAGATTCGACTGGAATTCGAACTCGGCTCGCCGCTATCCATTACTCCACCGTGCCGCCAGGAAGTCTTAGCTTTGTATTAATTGTTAGATTTAACAAATAACCACGTAATAGGAAGTCGGTTAAAATACTTGTAAAATCATTTAAATTTCTGTTAATTTTCTCGAAATTTACTCCTCTAACGACTCTGGTATTTGTTTTTTTGTTTTTTTTTAAACTCAATTCACCTCGAGGAAGGCGAGAAAGTCACTTAGACTCAAGTGGTTAATTATTATTAAATAAACTGAGAGAGAAAAACATCTTTTAAGACAGAAAGGACAATAAAAAAAAACATTCACATAGAAAGAAGGTAATGACTGATGTCGCATTTAAACTTTTGAAGATCAAAGTTCATTAGAAAAAGCTGCATCTACTGTAAGGAAAGTTATGTCGTGCCAGAAGATTTTCTTCGTCACATTTACAAATCTACCATGTTGTATTCTGGTCTGATGCTCCTGCTTACTCATCTCGAGATTCTTGACAAAATCCAAAGAAGGATCAGCAATTGACTTGGGATCTCGACTTCAGTCACATTCTCACCGACAACACGTGGCTTCCCTCTGTCTTTTCTACAAATATTTTCATGGCAACTGCTCTGACTAGCTTTTTTCCTTGGTGCCCTGACTACGTGACTTTAAGTGTGCAACCAGATTGGTATCTTGATCCCACTCTTTTACTAGTGAAATAGTTAAATATAACCCCCACTTCTACTCCAAGAGTTTCTTTTCTCACACTTATCACTTGTGGAACTCCCATCCTTTTACTTGCTCCTCTGGCAACTACAATATTCAAAAATTTAAATGCAACATCAATCGCCATATGACATCTTCTTGAATCCCTTTCATCTTTTATCCTTTCCTCAATCCTCCCTATACCTAATCTTTTCTCTCAATTTCACTCTCTGTAATCCCCTCATCCTCAACTGCGTACTAGTGGCATTCCCACCTTGCTTGGGGTAAAAGTATTTTAAAAAATAAAGAAGCCAGTAGAGAGTTCCACAAGCGAAAAGTGGAAGATAAGAAATTGTTAGAAAAGAAAATATACCTATATCTAGCAACTATCTATATTTTTGCAATGAGGTATGTAACTATTTACACTATTTAAATCATTCTGTCCTCAACTTTACTGACATATTCACGACGTTTCGACTGTTGTACGCTCCGGCCTTCTTCAGGATCTGTCTATATTTCTGCCATGAGATCTTGTAACTATTTACACTATTTATATCATTCGGACTGTTTTCCTCACCTTTAGTGACACACGACGTTTCGGCCGTATTACGCTTTGGTCCTCTTCAGGTGATCTGAGTTGAAATTTCGAAGCGAATCGTTTATTTAGTCCTTGCGAATAAATGAATAAACTGGAACTGAGATATCCAGAAAAGGTATGGCGGGTGGAATTAGAAAAAATTATCTCCGTGGATTAAATAAAGTGTTCGGTTGGAAATTCCAATGTATATCACCTGAAGAAGGGCGGAACATACAACGGCCGAAACACCGTGAATATAAAATAAACATGTGGCCAACGATGCAAATAGTGTATATATCTAGCTAATTCAACTTTAATAATTATGAGACCTAACTGCCAATCTAGTACTGTGTTTAAATTCGTTGAGAAACCAAAGTGGAATGTTCATCACAAGAATTACCATGAAAATATTTACAGAAAAGCACAGCAAAGCTACTTGACGGCGGTAGGAAAGTGACTGAAGCCGAGATGCCAGGTTGCGATCGATAACATTGCAGATTCGTCTTTGAATTTTGTTAACAATCTCTAGATACATAGGAGGAGCACTAGAACAGATGTGGCAACAATATTCAATATTTGAAAAAAAAAATGGTAGACTTATAAATATGTAAGATTGGCGAGAAAAAAATCTTTCCACTTCATGCCCTTAGTCCGAGAAAGCGTAATGATCACTCTCCTGGAGGTTAATATCACCCATGATGATGGTAGGCAAATAAAAGTTTTCTAGAACGAGTAAAACGGCGCTGCTTTGAATTGGTTTTCAAAGGACCATTATTTTTGTTTTGACTCGATATCTTTTATCACAGACTAAACGAAAATAGCAGCACACCCTATCATCCTGGTCAGAATGTTGAAGAGCCGAACTGAGTGAGGACTGTTTGAAACCCATATGCAATGACGAATTGTTGTTTGAATATAATAACGAAAAACGCGCGAAAACGATCAGACCGGTTGCAACAAAGGTTAAGCCAAAAGGAGGCTTTCTCTTCCTCTTCCTGTCTTGTGAAACTCTTTACCTTCGATCGGAGAGTAAACCAGATGAGGTTATGCCGAAGGGCAGACAAACCCGACCCCCGTGTATACGGGTCTACGGACAATTTTTGCCCTAGAGTATCGGAACGTCCCACGTTAAAAACTGGCATTGTGCCACCTATTGCCTTGTAGGGAGTTTGGTAAATAGAGAGGTTAATCCTAGAGCTCTGATGCATTCTCCTCCCACATGTTGTGTACATTGGTTTCACAGCGAGACAAGCCGCTCTATGAAGATGGTAGCCAACGAGCCATCAAGTTGATATCCGTCCTGGTATCCGGACAGCTGCCCGACTGGGATAATGATCTAAGGGTCATTTCTTCAGTCCGGTCACTATCATGTCATCGACCAACTGGGCCTCGTCACTCTTTCAAGGTAAAGGGCAAGCTCATCTCCTTGCAGAAAACGTGCAAGGAAACGAGCATGGGTCTGGTACTTTTTGCGGCTTAGCGACCAATTTCACTTTCTTTATCCACGCGATTATATCAGCTTCTCCGTTAAACGACCGTATCACCTCTCTACCCAGTCTCACCATTGTAGACCCCAATATCGTCGGAATAGCTTGTGGTTTGAAAGCTTAAAATTAAATAAAGAGTGTGTGTGTTTATCAATGCGAAGTAAGTGGGGCTTGGTAGCTCGAATCTCCTCTGTTTCTCCCAGGATCTTTCCCGTCCTTCCTAATTCTCAAATGCCCTTCTTCCTCTAGGTCTCTTACAAATTTTATCGTACGTACTTATTTTAAAATCTCCTTCCCAATTTCGTTCCCTCCCTTGAGCCTTTCATAAACTTCCAAGGGCCTTTCAATGAATGCTTTTACTTTGGTCACTATCATGTCCTCGTCCAACTGGGCCTCGTCACTCTTTCAAGGTAAAGGGCAAGCGCATCTCCTTGCAGAAAATGTGTAAGGAAACGAGCAACGTCTGGTACTTTTTGCAGCTTAGCGACCAATTTCACTTTCTTTATCCACGCGATTATATCAGCTTCTCTGTTAAACGACGGAATCACCTCTCTACCCACTCTCGCCTTTCTAGACCCCATATCGCCGGAATAGCTTGTGGTTTGAAATCTTAAAATTAAATAAAAAGAGTGTGTTTATCAATGCGAAGTAAGTGGAGGTTGGTAGCTCGAATCTCCTCTGCTTCTCCCAGGATCTTTCTCGTCCTTCCTAATTCTCGAATGCCCTTCTTCCTCTGCGTCTCTTACAACCTTTCTTGTACGTTATTTTTTCCCTCCCCGGCCAGCACGTTCCTTCGTCAAGTCCGCCGAAACGAAAAAAAAAAAAAAGAATAGCCGACTCGGTTGCGTTTTATAGTTTCTTTCTTCTTTCTTATAATTCCTGTTTTGAACCCCGGTTTGCCGTAATGTCTCTCCATAAAAGAAATCACTTGTCACCCCCCCACAGCTCCCGCAAAGCCCCCCACCCCCCGAGGTAAGCGACATTCCATTTTTTTTCTTCTTCCTTTCATTCAGACTACAGGTTCATCAGAAAATGAAATTTAAAGGAGAAAAGAAAATCTTGATGTTTGTTTTTAAATTGGTTAAGCAGACATATTTGACGTGATCGGTAACTTTCATGTATATAAATCTTGTGTGTATGTGTAACAAAATTCTAAGTGGGAATCAGCTGATAATGTTTGTAAGAGTGTGTGTGTGTGTGTGTGTGTGTGTGTGTGTGTGTGTGTGTGTGTGTGTGTGTGTGTGTGTGTGTGTGTGTGCGTACCTAGTGCGTATTTCTATTTCTGTCTGGTAAACACTGTGTTATTCATTGGGGGAAAATTTATATGTGAGTTAAAACACGTCAGTTTCACCGATTATGGTTGGCGGAAGATTAATCTTAGATACCTTTATGCATGGATTTTATAAAAGTTGCTGATATAATAAACTGTTAATAAAGTAGAGGCCACATTCTAATTGGGACAAACGGAATAAGATAGATGAATGATAGATAGATAGATAGATAGATAGATAGATAGATAGATAGATAGATAGATATGAAGAGACTCAGATAGATAGCGTTGTGGCCTTGTTAGGGCCAGAAATGAAGACACAAAGAGGGGAATTGAGTTAAAAAAAAATATATATTAACAGAAACAATAATACAAACAAGAGTCTTACAGGAAGAATGTTCGGTCCGACTGGCAGATCTGACTGCTGGAAACTTCCCTCGCCAAAAGGCAGTACCTGCTCCTATTTATAGCTGGGAGAATCCATGCGTGTGTGGGTAAATTACCATAACAGATAGATAGATAGATAGATAGATAGATAGATAGATAGATAGATAGATTCGAATAAACTGACACAGAAAGATAGATATGACCAGAGATATTGATAGATTCGAACACACTTAGATTCGAACAGACTGATATACAGTGATAGATATGATGAGACTGAGATAGATAGATAGATAGATAGATAGATAGATAGATAGATAGATAGATAGATAGATAGATTCAAACAGACTAATATAGGTAGATATGAACCGACAAATCAATAGATCCGAACAATAAACATAGATTCGAATAGAGAAAAAAGATATATTGATATGAAGAAGCTGGGATATAGATAGATAGATAGATAGATAGATAGATAGATGAGATAGATAGATATGTAGAGACTGAGATAGATAGATATAGATAGATAGATAGATAGATAGAATTTAATTTTTAGATTTTCCGAACAATTTGTGATAGGAACAGGTTGTGATAGATTCCAATAGATAGATAATGATAGATAGATAGATAGATATATGAAGAGACTGAGATTACATACAATGCATACATACATATATATATATATATATATATATATATATATATATATATAATTTATAAAAACATACGAAAATTCCAGCAAAGATATAAATAGATTGATGATAGATAGATAGATAGATAGATAGATAGATAGATAGATAGATAGATAGATAGATATGAAGAGATTGAGATAGATAGATAGATAGATAGATAGATAGATAGATAGATAGATAGATAGATAGATAGAAATGATTGGCGATGATACTGTTCACCATTTTAAAATGTTTCAGCCTTTCAGTATATTTCATATATCTTATAATTGTTTATTTTAAGTAAACAGGTTTGTAGATGTTGATGTTTCATTCTGCTTGACTAAGAATATAGATCGATGTCAAGGAATGCCCACCTACAGCCGGGCATATGTTGTTCGTGTAAAATATCGTTAAACGCCATGGGACCAACCTAACGAGACGGAAGATAATTGCTGGTGAAATAGTTCAGAATACGCCGATGCCTGCATGTCCGTGTGACATTGACAAACCGGGCACATTTATTACCAACGAGATCAGTATATCGATATACAACAAAGTATTTTATCATTTAATGGAAAAAAAAAGATGTGGGAAGGCCATTTATCTTTGCAAAATGCGCCTTTGAAAGGAACAAGTTAAGTCAACATTGCCGGGTAAAATGCGCAAAATATACTTATTTTATTTCATTTTTTTTTTCTGTAGAAATTAAAAATATGCTCATTTTAAAATCAAACTAGTTCTTCAATTTAAATGTCTAGGGAGTGTTTTAACAGAGGACGGAAAGAGCTACACTAAAATTCATAGGCGCAATGGAATAGCGAAAGATTCCTTACAAAAGCTAAGCAAAGTATGTAGAAACAGAATAAATATAGTCAGAAACAAAGAAAACAGTACTGAGCTGCTACGTAATATCAATCGTCTTGTATGGCAGTGAATACTGTACAATCTCCTCCTAGACGAAGATAAAACTTGAGACAACAGAAATATGGTTCTACAGAAGGATGTTGAGGATACCATGGACTGAACATGTGAGCAAAGACGGAGTTTTAGAAAAAATGAAAACAAAAAAGAAAATTGAAACTTAACATCAGGAGGAGGCAGTTGAAATTTCTAGGGCATATCATGAGGAAAGAAGTCTTGTAAAATCTGATACCCACAGGACAGACTGAAGGCAAGAGGGACAGAGGAAAACAACGAATAACTTACTTCATGAGCTTGAGTAAATCGATGGCGGAACAAGGTTTTAGAGAAATAACCAAAAAACAAAATTTATTAAGAGCTAAAAAGAACGGGAAATTGTGGAGAGCCATGACAGCTTACATCCATAAGGGACACAGTACACAGAAGACAAATGGGCTTTTTTTCTTTTCTCAAGCAAATATTCTGCTATTTTAGCGTGTTTTTATTAGGATATAGGTAATAATTTTCTCTTATAGAATGCGTTGGAACACAATTATTAATAGTTTTCGAACGTCTGGGAGAGATAGAAAAATCCGCACTTGAAAATAGTCCGTCTGCTTTCTGTTAAGAATTCGCGCGCCGTGTCACATATAAAATCGCTCCCTAATCAGATTAGCGCTTCATTTTGATTGGTTAACTCTCAGAAAATCTATCAAATGGTTAACGCATTGAAATCTTAATTATCACAATCGAATGCAAACAACTTGTGATGTATATTTGATGTATGCCTCAAGCAGGAGGTTATATTTTCAATTGTTTATCAGCAGCATATATTGTTAAAAGCAATCAGCAATTTAAATATTCGATTTGGTATGAAATCATGACTTGATAAGATAGACTGAATCAGTTCAAAAATCCCTCCGAAGTCACCATAACTGCCAAACTTGTGAAGAAGCCTGGAATGCGAAACCCTGTCGAACGCTTTTGAGATGTCCAAATCAATAACCCGAGATTCAGCATATTTCACCAATGCTTGGGTGAAATGATTTGAAAAATCTGAATTCATAATATAATATTTGCTAACAGGAACCAAGTAAGAGGAAGGGAGTTCCACTGTCGGGAAGTGCGAGAGAAGAAGCTGTTGGAGTAGAAGAGGCGGTTGCATTTTTGCTGTTCCGACAGGGAAATGGTGGGACCGAGATATAACCTAGCAGCATACTTACATTCATGCAGTTGGGGTACCAGTGAAATGAGCGCGTCACATCAGTTGCCATGAAAATATTTGTAAAAAAGACAGAGGGAAGCCACAGTACGTCTGTGAGAATGTGACTATAGGCGAGATACCAGATCAGGACCTGTTGCATTGCATATCCGTCTATGGATTTTGTCGAGGACCTCGAAATAAACAACGAGGGGCATCAGACCATATATGGTAAAAGCATTTAATGCAAGGACTAATGGTAGATTTCTTTCTTAATCTGTCGAGATGTTCAAACACAACAGCCCGAGCTTCACCATTTTCGCCATTCCTTGGAGTGAAATGGTTTGAAAAAAATCTGAATTCATAATGTAAGCGAAGCTAACAGAAACCAATTAGGAAGAAGGGTGTTCCACTGCCGAGAAGTGCGAGAGAAAAAGCTGCTGGAGTAGAATAGGTGGTTACATTTAACCGTTTCGACAATGAAATAGTGGGACCGAGATGCCAACCAAGTAAAACGCTTAAATATTCATGCAGTTAAAAAAAAAACCAGTGAAAGTAGCTCGTCACATCAGTTGCCATGAAAATATTTGTAAAAAAGACAAAGTGAATCCACATCATGTCTGTGAGAAAGTGACTGTAAACGAGATACCAGATCAGGACCTATCACACTGCATATCCGTCTAGGGATTTTGTCGAGGACCTCGAGATGAACATCGGGGGCACCAGACTATATATGGTAACAGCATTTAATGCAAAGGCGACTGGTAGATTTCTTTCCCAATCATTCGAGATATCCAAAATCAACTTCACCCTTTTTTCGACATTCCTTGGAGTGAAATGATTTGAAAAAAAAATCTGAATTCATAATGTAATCGAAGCTAACAAGAGTCTGCGACTGTTTTTTCCCCCAAAGTGATAGCATCTCGCTGAGAATGACGACATAAGTATTTTTTGAGAGCCATGATTACATATATCTTGATGGTACGCCCGAATTAAAAGTGGCGTAATTAGAATTATGAACATTTCAGATCTTACCTGAATACTTGATATGTCCCGGAAAGGAATATATTTGATCGAAGTAGCTAAGTGGGTTTTGGCTACTATAACCAAGTAGTACACGGTAGCAGTAATCGACTGGTACTCGTCGTTGTCGCAGGTAATAAGTGTAGACCAATAGGATAGCCAATGGTGAAGTCCAATGGGCGTCGTCAAATGACATTACTCTGTCGTACCTACACGTCCGTCTGTATTTATGACTGACACCAGCCAATCATATTCCAGTGAAAGGGAACTCAGGAATATGTATAATCCATTATATCAATACTGAAAAATTGATTGATCAAATACGAAATAGATTTAACACCTTTTTGCTCCGACCGATAACTTTTTTGTATCACATCAAATATCTTTTGCTCAAGAACTACCACATTTATGGTGCTTCCTTGTAAAATCAAATCAAGGACAATCACTTTATTCATCATTAAAATTAAACTTCACCATTTAGTGTCTTCGAGATTATTTATTGCCAGGAATTTAGCTTACCCCTCATGGTGATTTTTTAAAGTACTCTTAGATGTGGCACAAGGCCGAAAGTATAGGGAACCCAGTGAATACCGAACCCACTACTCAGTCATAATTGTTCTAACTCATAATTGTGAGGTGCCAAAGCTTCCTCTCATGTTTATATATATATATTCATGAATTATTCATACAAAAACAAATACAAAGGTTAATGATTTAATTGGCGAGAAATCCATCGTCGCAAACAATTCAAATAATATACAAAAACCTCCGAACCTGTTATGAATGAAAAGATCCTTGTTTCATAAATTTCTGTTGCATTAGTTCTTATTTTACTACAAGCTTTCGTCTGTTCCTACAGACATCTTCAGGTATGGAATAGATGTTGTTCTTGTTTTTTTTTCTCAGTAATAAGAGGACAACGAAAATATATGTATTGTTGTATCCGAAAAATGAGTTATTGTTTTGGAAATGAGTTATTTTCTTGTTTTGTTGAAACTTTCAAAATTCTTTGGGGCATTTAAAATTAAAAAGTGTTTCCATTTAAAACGTGCAATCAATTTACAAATATTGCTTCATAATTGTGAGGTCTGAAAGATGGTCATGTTTATATATATATATATAGTATCATTTTATATATTGAATATTATTCATACAAAAACAAATACAAAGGTTAATGATTCATATATAAAACATTCAAATTATATGAACCTGTTATGAATCCCTTGTTTCTAACATTTTCAATTCTTATTTTTACTATTTCAAGTCAGTGAGGAATAGCATGATGTCTTTTTTTTTTCTCTCAGTAGATGGACCCCATTTTGTTCCGAAAATGCTATTGAAATGAGTTAAGGGTCCTTTCAAAAATAAATTCTAGAAATTAGTGTTTCCATTGCAGCATTATCCTGTTGGAATAACCATCCAAAGTTCATTTTTTGTTAATATTATAAATATCCTGCCATCCATCCTAAAAAATAACCGGTGAGCATGCAGGATGTCAAAACATTTCTTTCAAAATAGTAAATAAAGTGTAGAACAGCACCTGTTGGAATAAACCATCCACCTTTATAAACCCTATATCTAGACAAAAATGAAAAAAAAATAGTAAAAATCAACACCAAAATATCTGGAAATGGAAAATAAGAAAAGAATATCATCAGCTTACAACATCAATTCAAAACCTGCAAACTTTTCTTAGAGAAAAAAAGCTATTATTACCTTCCCAGACCACAATAAATTACTATACAAAAAGATCTGAGCTCATCTCAAAATGCAGAGATGAAAACAAATTTTTACGACGTTACTTAAAAATCGAAAACTGAAAATAATAAATAAAAATGAACAAAATTAAATAAAAAAAACAAGTAAAATAAATTAACCCAAACAAATACTAAACAAATTAACAAACCACTCCCGTTAGAAGAGACGAAATAGAATAAATAAAAATAAAAAATAAACACATAAAATACAAGTAAAAATATTCAATCCAAATAAAGTAAACAATAAACAAATTAACAAACCAATAACCGTTAGAATAGACTACAACAATCAATCCAAAAACTGGATGAGAAAATAGTTATAATTGCTATATAACGATAAAAAAAATACTGTTACTCAAAACTGAATAGAGTAAATAAAAATATACATAATAAAAAATAAGCAAATAAATTCGAAAAATAAGTCAAAATTAATCCAAATAAATAAATAAATGAACAAATTAACAGTCTTTGTACAAACATCGCTTGTCTTTTAAAAAACCGTTGCATTATTAATCTATTTGACGGAGAGAAAGAAACGCA